ATAAATATAATTTATTTATTTCATATATACAATATGGATGTTAAATCGAAGATCATCAAAAGATGATTAATTTGATATATTATATATGTAAAACCGATAAGAAATACAAAATTTATCAACTTTTAAAGTACATTTATAATTCAATAGCTTATTGAAGGAAACAAATCAAAATTCAGGGATATATCAGTCACTTAGTGCCTCACTATGTAAAATTACAAAGAATTAAAGGGTTATATTAGTAAAAGTGATATTAAAATACTTAAGTTAGCTAAATAATATTTATGGAATTATGTATAGGGAGGATTTGAAACGAGGGTATAACTATAGAGTGCGCAATTGTGTTGCAACATATAAGATAAATATAATTTGCATAAGTATAAAAGTAGATAAAAAAAAACTCTTCGGGGAGCGTCCCACTACCCTTACAAATCCTTCATTAGTAGTTTGCCCCCTCAAAAATCTCTCATTAATTTGTTTGTCCACGATTATACAGTTTGACCTTATGCGACTCATACTCCTCTTAGCCTAGCCAAAACTATATACACGATTCTATCAATTACTTCTCTTGCCACACACGCGTGGAATTTAATAACTGCGAATCTCTCGAGCTAAACAATACTAATCTCTATGTACTATGAAAAAGTGTTTGATAAAATTGCGAAAAAACAAAGTATCAACTCGTCAGTTTTTCAATGGTGTAAGAACACTGAAATACTGCGATTAGGATAACTAAAACAAGAAAAACTCTCGAACACTCAATTGAATGCTTAATGAAAGTAATATCGATAGTTCAACAATATTCAGTTGATCTTCGAGTATACTATTTATACAACTCCTTAGATGTAGTGCCTTCAAGATCTTGTTTCCTTTAATGAACCAAGCTCTTCCTCTTAGTGATTTTGTGAAACTCCAAATTAAGGAAAGTGTCTTGATTACGATCTTCAATCACTTCATCTTTTCTCTTCCTTCCATATAGTCGAGTCTACGAAATTCCATGCAAGAGATAATTCTACAGAAAATACGAACACATATAAGATATTGCATATAACTAAATCAAACACCCGCGATAAGTTGTGTATCACATCATTATACAAGAGACTTATTGATTTAACACTTCGATTACCTTCCTGCGATATATGTCACATCAATTCTATTAATATATGCATAAACTTTGGCACATTAATATTATTCCCTCTTATTTTTAATAAGTGTTTATTGATAAGTTGTATAGTAATTAAGATTTTTTTTATCTGATAAATTCTCGCTAATGAAGATAGAGCTGGATGTTTATTTTTTAGCTAAATAAGGGTCATTTATTAACCAAAAAGACATTTAAAAAAAAAAAATAAGAGGTAATATAATTTTGTTGTTAATGTACAACACTCAATATAATTAGTTACAATTTGAAGATTTAAATTGAGCAAAAAAGTAGTATAGTAAGTATTAGTTTTTTTTTTTTTTTTTTTTTTTTT